AATTCAAGAAAATTTCTTGCTTACCTATGATTAAAATACTCAAAAGTACTAACTAGCCAATAATGTGGCTGAAAGGTTTTGTAGCTAAGGACTAGAGTGTTCTTGCAAGCCACATTCCATGATAAAAATGAAAAAGAAGGCAACTAAGGGTCTGTTTGGTTGGAAGTAAAATGTTTTCCTTGGCAACTAAGGGTCTGTTTGGTTGGAAGTAAAATGTTTTCCATGAGCAGGATGAGGTTTTTTTTTATTTTGAATATACTAGGGGGAGGGTTGGGTTGGGTTGGGTGGTACAGGGAAGGGAGTGTAAGGAAGAGGTCTTGGGTTCGAGTTCTCCTGTTTACACTAAAAAAAAAGAACATATTACAAGATGTTTTCAGTAAGTTTGGAACATACTACAGGCGGGATGCATGCATTTCGGAAAACAACTTCAGTAAGTTTGGAAGGGAAGTTGTTTTCCATAAGATGAGTGAAAATATTTTACATAGGAAAATGTTTTCAGTAACTTTTGTGCAACCAAACACGGGAAATTAGGAAAATATTTTCCTGGAAAACATTTTCACCCGAAACAAACGGACCCTAAAGGCAAATGAAAAACCGGCAGGGCTTTTTTTGTCATAGGGGAAAGGGCATGGAGACGGAAATTAGGAGCATAAGAAAGTCAAACGGGCTACTGGTAATAACCTCCAAAATGGTTTCTTGAGTACGTTTTTTAGCAGCAATTGGCTGGACAGTGGAATTTAGTGGGTTCCATCTTAGATGGTTGATTTTCAAGCATTGTTGAAAAGAGTACGTTTTTTAGCTTGGCATATAAGATTTTCTGAATGCGTGTGTTCACTCTATAATCTAAGAATATTTTAGTCCTCGTTGTAAAGGTTGGGACACTTTTGTTTGTTTTACAAGTGCCAGAGGAGAAGTTACATTGTGAGATAGACTCAGTTAGTTGCTTGTTGTACTAATTTCCATATTTATGAATTCTCTACTGAAGAAAACCTAGAAAAAAGAAAGTTCAATAAATTTCTTGAAAAATAATTTATATAAATATATATATGCAAAATAAGACATGTAATGGACTAATTTAAAACATTATATGATGAAAAGTTTAATATTTTCAAAGAACTCAAATTTTCACAAATAAAAATTTTAAATTATAAGTTGCAACAAATAAATTTCATTTCACTCTCAATTGTATCTATCAAAAAATAATCTTAAATCCAACCCAAAAATACCACAATATTCTCAAAATTATACAAAATTCGCGACCATGAAAATTAGACATGTGAGTTTAAATTTTTAATTCACGTTTTTTAGATTTAGAGATTGCAACTTAAAAAAAAAAAGAAGTTTGGAGTTTGAACTTTAGAGAAAGTCAGGAAAATATAAAATAGAGATGCAAACTTGATAAAAGGCAAAAAAATGAGAAGAAAATGAGTGGATGTGGTATTTAATAATTAGTCTTTAGGGTTAAAAAAAACTTATTCTTTTATATATATAATTTTTTCAATTTAATAGACAAAAATAAAAAATTTGTTGGTTCAACGGTTCAATTCGGTTCGTAAGGTGCAAACAATTATTATCGATTTTTAAGTCCTATCAATTCGAGGGATGAATCGGATCAAAATTATGATCGGTTCACAGTCCGATCGATCAAATCGATCAGTCCGGTTCGGTTTTCAAAACCATGCAAAAAGGCAAATGTGTAGTGCAACTTTTCAACAAAACTGCAGTAGCGCTGCTTAATTGCGGCAATATAGCCTTATGATGCCACTTACAAAGTGCAGCCATAGGCGCACAAGTGCTATATACTCATTCGCTACCCCTCTAGATACCCATTCTTATATGTAATGTAACAACCACAATGCAAGGAGCTAGATTGTCATAAAAAGAGTTCAGCCTGGCAAATATGACTTTCAAATTTAAGGTCGGCCGATAACAAAACTAAAATAATTATAGTAGTTATACTAAGGATTAATTGAACCACATAGTTGGCCAATAATTCCAACTATATTCATTGTCAATGGCAGCAAATGAAAATACTACTGTAATACCATGGTCATGGTGCAATTAAGTATGAAATTTATATTACATCAGTAATATTGTTTAATTATCATCCTGCCTACTGTCAGGCACAGGGACTTAATTGCAATTGGATCGAAAGTTTAGAGGGCATTAGTGTAATTTTGCATATGGAGCCAATTTGTTAAAAGTTAGTTATAACTGATTTTGCTGAAAGAGTAGTTAGTTGCACGGAAATTCTTGCCAATAAGATTTTGTTTAATCATTGAATGTGTAGAAATCCAGGCAATGTAATAGATTTGGGGACAGGAAGTTAATCACATTTATTTCCCCTCAAATTCTCTGTCTCTCCCTTCCACTTTCTCTCTCTCTCTCTCTTTTCCCTCTCATTTCTCTTCTTCTACATTCAAACCTTTCCACGCATGCTGGTCTCAATTCTCCTACTATCACATTGCCAAGGGTCTGACAAATTGGTATCAGAGCTGACCGATCCTTGGCTAGCTACTGAAACCCAAATGGCAGAAAGCACTCGATTCAAGATTCTGGAGGATCAGCTCAAGAAGCAACAACAGAAGCTGCAGGAAGTCATGGAGGACGTCAGAAGTGTACAGCAGCAAGTGAAAGGGGAAATGACAGGTAGAGATCAACGTATGGATTCGATTGTGATTGGAATGGAACAGAAATTCGAAGCACTCAGTTCGATGATGAAGACATTGTTGATCAAGGAGAAGAGTACAAGTGATGAGGCTAAGATGGGGAGAGATCGAACACCATTGCTGCCAACACCACCTAGTCACCAGAGGTTGAATTTGGAAGCAGGAACTGAGGCGAAGGACTATGAATTCTTAGGTAAGATCTCTGGCCATTCCCTTCCTAAACTTGAACTGCACCTGTTCGGGGGAGAGAATCCACATGAGTGGATCAGGAAATGCAACAAATACTTCATGTTGCATAGAATCCAGGAGGACCATAAGCTACTGGTGGTGGAGATGTTTTTGGAAGGGAAGGCTGATATGTGGTTTCAGGGCGTCAAATTGGAGAAACCACGGCTACCATGGAGAGAATTTGAGGAATTGCTTTGCCAGAGGTTCAAGGGGACCTGTTGTAGGGACATTGTGGAGGAATTCAACAAATTGCAGCAAACCAACACAGTGGAGGCTTATCAGGAGAAGTTTGAGGAATTGAAGACACTGATGTTGATTCAAAATCCCAACCTGAGTGAAGAATACTTTATTTCCAGCTTTACAAGTGGCCTCAAGGAGGAAATTAAGCCTATGGTACAAATGCTCAAGCCAAACACTCTCTTAGGAGTCATAGAGATAGCTCATTTGCAGGAACAAGCTATTAAGTTGCAAGGAAGGATAGTAAAGGAAGGTAACAAAGTGGTGGCTGAACCAAGGTTTGGAATGTACAGGCATCCTACAGCTTTGAATGGGGGAGTCAGCACTTACAAATTACACTAATGCCCTCTAAACTTTCGATCCAATTGCAATTAAGTCCCTGTGCCTGACACCTACGTCATGCATGACCTAAACTTTGCCGAAGTTAATCTAATAAAGTAGATAAGCTCAAGTTGTTTGAGGATTAATATATCTAAGTTTGCAATTATATTGATTGTTCCGGAAACAGAGAGATTATTCGAGTTATATCTCAGACGAAATAGAACATGGTACATTCCATTTTGATGTAACTAAGGGGATTAACAAGCTAGGAGTGAAGGCTCCATAAAAAAATTATGCCAGATGACCAAATGTTTTCCTCACAGTTCAAGACTCAGGCAAGTCCTCGTTACTGCCACATTTGGCAAAAGAAAAAGATCCTAATAAAGAGTCCGTTTGGTTCGACAGAAAATATTCATTTTCCTGGAAAATCACTTCTCCATAATTTTCCGGTGTTTGGTTATTTAGTGAAAATACTTTCCAAATTCCTTTTTTCCTAATTTTTCGGTATTTGGTTTGTCAGTGAAAATAGTTTTTGACTTCCTTATCTATTGTTTGTTCATATATTGCAAACATTTTCCTATTTTCAAAGCATTCATCTCATTACAAGTTATTTTTAATTTCTATCCATTATAATCATATTATCATTTTTATAAAATATTTATTCAAATTACACCACGAATTCTTAAATGAAATTATTAATGACACTGATGAATTGATTTTTGATCTTCCTTTAAAAAAAAAAATCATTAAGAGGTGAACCGTCTCTTTTATCAAATTGGATACCACAACATTTTCTTTGATGTCTCAAATCAGTGATACAAGAAAAAATTAGGTAACCTCTGCACTAGAGGCAACATCTTTCGTGAAATGCACAAATTTTAAAACTAATCAACTAGGCACCTATTGCCATCAAAAGAATTATGTGCCACAATTCCACATATCATATACATCTATTGATGAAATTATCCAGAAATTCAACATTTATTAGTGCAACAAAAAGTTTACTAGCTTATTCTTTGGATTGAAATTTCATTTTCATTAGGTCTGCAGAAAATTTAAAAGGAAAAAAAATTCAGTACGAATCAATTGAACTCATAAATAATCTCAATGAATTAGCTCATAATTTGAATCGTATAATGATTCGTTATTCAACAATTATTCTTTTACGCTAACAATCTCAGTGCTAATGAACTCCTACAACTACCAGAAAGTAGCTTAAAATTTCAATGAATAAAGATATTTCAACCAAATGTTTTAGCCAAATGGAAACTGCGGGTCATATTATCCAAAAGAAACATATATCAGATTATTAAAGAAAAATGACATAAACCACCAACAGATCAGTGCACAGGCTAAGAATGACATAAACCACCAACAGATCAGTGCATAGGCTAAGAATCAACAAAAAGACACTGCAGCGCTGCAAAGGAATTTTACCGTCATCATCTCTAAACTTGCTGGCTGATGACCATCGCACCACTTCAAGAGCAATGGAATTTTGCCACAAACAGCTGTAAAGCAGTTTAACAATCTTGAAATGGCTACTTGGCTGTTAATCTCACTACTTTATAACAAAAACGGGTGCAAAGGAATTGGTATATTACTTTAAGCTGAATTCTGGAAACCTAGTACTTCCAAAACAAGGCAAGTGGTTTTCCTATAAATACAAAAGATAATGACAAAAAAAAAAAACACAACGCAGCTGAAGAGACTTTCCAAGAATGTGATGCTTGCTTATAACACAGTTTCTGTTGCTTCCTCTCTCAAATAAATTCATGGCAATAAACGATCCTCGCTGCCATCACATAATAAGTACTTCATTCGACACCCCAATATTTCTTGAACCTCTCGAGAAAAATCAAACGAAGTCTTTGACCCTTTGCCATAAATGCTTTTCCCAGCTTCTCATTTTGCACTAAATGATCGAATACCAAGTCCAGAAATTCTTCGCTATAACCTTCTATCTTCATAATCTGCCAACACATATTTTTGGTTTGGGCAGCATTCCTGCAATGGGCAAGCATTCAAACCAAGCTCAGAGTTATGTTCATGATTAAAACATACGGAACAAGTAGTAAGAGACGTCAACAGTCATGTTGTTCAGAAAAACAGCGGGTACAAGAAGGCTGAAGACTGGAATATATTGGAGTACTCATACCCAAGTGAATTTCAACCTAAAATTGGGGAAAAAAAAGCAATAAAAAATTTATTAAAGAGTTAATTACACAATTATCCGAAGTTAATTGCTAAGTTATCAATTTACGGCCAGCACATGTTAGCAAATATTAACTAAATTGACAAATAAAATGGTTGCATGGTTACATAACGCAGAAGAATCTCAACCAAATTCATCTGCCAATTCAACTGTCTAAAAGATGCACTATTCCAAGGTACAAGGGATTAGAATACCATGCCAACAACCATCTTCAATCTGCAAATCATGATAAGATATTTCCAAAGTCTTACCATAAAGTCTATAATACATATGGTAGTAGATAATTTTCCACTATATTGAAATGGCACTTAAGAGGGGCGTTAAGCATGATTCCTGAACTACCAAAAGCTGAATACTGAAGAGTTGACTGACAATCATGACCCAAGAAAGAATGTCCACAAATCCAAAGCTTAGACCACTCAGTCAGTCAAATGTTAAATGATGCACACATCTATAACCAACTTGTAGAAGTCAAAAGCATAAGGAGGACTCTATATTACTTAATAGCAAGTAGCATATCAAACAAAAAGGTCAGTTCCCAAATGCAAAATAACATAACAAGCAATTTAGCCCGTCAAGCTTTTGCTTTTGCCAGTTGCTATATTCTCGGAAAGTAATTTTGTTAACTAGACACCAAAAAGATGCAACTGTAAAAAGCTTTATTTCTGGATATGTAAAGACTAATCCAAGAAATTTAGAAGGCGACTTTCATGGTCCAAGTATACAAAACTTGAGTTCTTCAAGTGCTGCACCATCCTCTCCAAAACCCAAAACTTAGGAAGCTGTGCAATTTTCTCTCCAAATCAACCTTTATTTATGCTGTATAAACTAGAATCCAAAAATAAGTTTTGCCACAAAATGTGCAGCCAGGTCATCAAACAACTTGATATTTGGTATCAGGTAACGAAAACTAATTATCATCTTCTTTAAGGACCAACTTAAGCAACAAGCCAAGCAGAATACCACAAAACATGCAGTCATTTAAGACACAAAATTGAAGAAAGAATAATTCGTCTTTGATGTAAGCAGATGATCAACTTAAGTAAAAAGCCAAGGAGAATACCTCAGTATAACCATTACCAATACCCACACCTTTTGAATCAGAAAATAATCATAACTGAAACCTTTATCCTAGGAATTTACATCAATACACAACTTGCAGCAACACCAACACCGCTATTGCCAACATTACGCAGTTAGGTCTGCAACATTGATTCTAACAACTATGTCTTCTTTTGACAACTATGGTTCCAGACAAAAAAAAACAGAGCACTCTCCAAGGGTCAGTTTCCACCAAGAGAAAATTGCTTAGTGTCTGTAAATAGTCACAATCAACATCTTGTTCATCTGATCATACTACAAGCAATAACCACTGATTACAACAAAAACAAGAATGTAAGCTTAATGAAACAGTCCAAGCTCCCATGTCCATTGTGCAGCTTCGTAAAAATCATTAAAGGACATTGCTCTAAACAAACTAGTATACAACACTAGAACACCAGCAAATGCCAACAATTGAAATCCACAAGAAGCTTAGGAGGACAAAATGATAATCCATCAACAACAGTAACAAACACATTCAATTACAACTTCCTCAATAGTCCATATCCTAAAGAACAAACTCTGCTCCAAATGAACAAACTGAATGCCTAAGTCAAGCAACTCTCCACCCAAAATCTTTAAAGATAGTCAGAATTGCAAGTTCAAGTTCCCAATAGATAAAAGCCAGTGAAATTAATAATCAGATTCCAAGAATCATAAAACCCCCAAAACTCAGCAGCTCAGGTAAGAAATAACTAAAACAAAAGCAACCCACAAAAATTCATTCCAATCCAACTTCAAGAATCTACACCAGTAATTCTAGACAATTTTTCAAAGGAAAAGGGAGGGGAAAAAAAACTAATAAGAAACCATTATACCTCTGAACGGAGATGCTGTTGTTGGAGAAACCATTATATCTCCAACTTCGCCCTTGTTGGAGATGCTGTTGCAGGAATGGAGATGCTGGGCAACCGGACACCACTCCCGAAAATGCTAGTAGGCTGCTTGGCCCAGCCCATCTACAGAATTTAGGTTTTGTTGTAGTATATTGGCCCATCTACTTGGAAGCTGCCGTTGACTTTTCAGCCTCAAGATTGCACCGCTTTGTTTACTATTAAACTAAATTTTCCATGTCATTCAAATCCTAAATTTCTTGGAGTAAATCAATCTAAAGACCACTAAGTGCTATCCATAAGCAAGAGGAAGCTCGACTCCGCGCCCGGGGGGGGGGGTTGGGGGATGTTCTAACCATCCATTGGCTAATGAGGAAAGAATATTAGATGCTTCATTTTCAGTGTTTGATATTGTCACGTGATATACTAGTACCAATTATTGATCACCAAATAATGGTGACAGGCCACTATTATTACTTGGTAATTAAGGACTGCTATTAGTGGATTACGTGTTGCAAATGGAACACGCAATACCCTCTCATAACACACCAAAAAAATTAGTGTACATGGAGCATCAGTGTAATATCTTTAATTCAAAAAAGTGCAAATATGTACAAATAACAAAGCAAAAACTCAGAAAATTTGGAATAATTTGTTTGTCAATGTAAATCGCATATACACCATCCCAAAGTTACCAATAATTACACCACCAATACTTCACCAACTCAAAAAACCATCACTCTCTAAAAAGAGAGAAATATGAATATCCAATTAACATGATAAGAACACAGAATTAACTTGCTAACAAAACAAATAAGTAAATTATAGGTGTTAGGAATGAAAAGATGTTATGAGAATTGTACAAAGCGATTCGGTTAGAGGGGCTCAAAACATATATTGCAAGTAACCAAAGCAGACTTGTAGCACTTGCACTACTGCTTCAAAGCTCTCAAAACCTGAATCCGCTCGTGTCCTGATGATAAATAGATAAAATTCCTCTTACAAACGGCATGATGAATTTGAAACACTTTAGGGTGAGACCCACAAAGTATACCACTCTACCACGTGACCTTGTCGACAAACTAATAGAGCAGGATATCTGCCAGATAGGACATTTGCTCTTTCAGCAAGAAACAGTACAACACAATTCATCTTATGCTTCAATTTTTTGAGGTTGAATTGTCATCTTCACGTTTGTCGTCCAAAGATTTTGGTCTAGAGCTAAAGATTCAAGTCTTTTGAAAACTTTCTGGCATGAGATGCCTAGCTTCTAACCCTTTACACAAACTGGTTGCCACTTCTTCTTTGCCATCTTTACAAAGTCCATTGCAAAGCTCTGATAAAGTACCTGGATCAGGGGAAATGGATCTCTCAAGCATCTCCCTCAAAACCATAGCAGCTCCATCATAATCCTCATTCTCAATGAAAGTGGATATCAGCATCCCCAGTGTCACTTTGTTTGGATGACAACCAGTCCTTATCATGCTTCTGTAGAGTTGAAGAGCACGCTCAGAGTTCTTTCTAACACATTGCCCAGTAATAATAGCAGAGAAGGTAGAAGAGTTTGGAACAAATTTTTCTCTATCCAGCTCTTTCACCAGATATGCAGCTTTCCTTGTCTTTCCCTCTTTACATAGTCCCAAAATCAATGCATTGTAAGTGATTATATCTGCCTTAATACCATTTACTGACATCTCCTCAAAAAGACGACCAGCCATCTCACTGTTCTCCGCTTGGCTGTAACCGTCAATCAATATATTGTAGGATATAGTATTAGGAGCAACATCCATGGTTTTCATTTCCTTGAAAAGCTTACCAGCTTCGTGCAACTTCCCTGCCTTGCAAAAAGCATTCATGAGGGTGTTGTACGTAACCTCATTTGGACGGAGCCCATTCTTCTCCATGAGCTTCTTGAGCTTCAGACTAGTGCTCAGAAGACCCTGACTACAGTATCCTGCAATCAATGTATTATACGATGCGACAGTTGGACTAATATTCATCTTCTCCATCTCCTTAAACACCTTAACTGCCTTTTCTGTATTCCCCAATTTGGTGAAAGCACCAATCACCATGTTAAGAGTATAAACATTTGGGGAAATATGGGACCTTTGCATTTCTTTGTAAAATGATAATGCAATATCAGACCTATTCAAACTAATCAACGAGCTCAAGTATGCATTGCAAGACTCAATTGTAGGCAAGAACCCGTATTCCTTCATAAGACTAAATGTGTCTGTGGCATTCCTAAACTTCTTCAGATGTGCATAAGTCTTGAACAATGCATCAAAAACACGGGGTGAAGAATCACAAATTCGATAGGAATACACTAAGGCCTCAAACAATTTAGAAGGAAGATCCAATGAACCCAAACTCAATTGAATGACTCTCCTAAGGATTGTCTCAGCCGACTTAAATTTCCTATTTTTAGTAAGAATATGCAGAATGATGGAATGTGTTTGAAGGCTAATTGAGCTCGAGTTCTTGAGTTCAACCCACTTGAAAAATTCAAGTGAAAGAACGTAATCCTTTTGCGTTCTCAACAATAAATGCTTAACTCGAAATGGGGTCAAACCAGAGGCCAATTTATCAAGCTTACACCAATCAAAATGTATAAGATGACTATGAGCAACGTTCACATAATCAAGGTCTTGGCCTTTAGGTTCAGGGATGGTTCCATGTGGCAGAGGAATTGGATTCCACTTCCTTTCTATCAATTTCGCCACATTTGTTAATTCCATAGAAGTTCTTGGGGTTGAAATTTTCTGAAATGGGATCTTTGGGGACTTCATCATTGGCTAAAATCACTTCCAAATGATTCTCGGACAAGCCCGATGAAAACTAATTGAAAGAAAGTAAACTGACAGAGCATGCAAACTGTGTCACAAAACAATCCACTATCAATCGTTCCGAGAGAGAGGAGTTACTAGCCTTGCAAATGGAGAAGGGTCCCACTTTGCAGCCCACAACACACACCAAGCCATGGCTCTTTTCACAATCACCACATATTTTGATTATTGGAGGAGCCCAGAAAATTGCGCAGAATTTTCATCACAAGACACAAGATAAATACTCATTGAGACTTTTGACAAGCACCTCACAGACATACAGAGCATACCACCGTGCCACAGACTTTTTTGACTGTCGAAGCCACATTTCCAATGCTCACCCACCCAACCACTGACCCTTCAAAAAATTTGAGTCATAGAACACTCGATACCGCAACAGTGGGAGGCCCTCAACAGTCAAAATAACCTCATTCTACCTTAGCTGTAGTGAAGCAACAAAAGGCATAACATGAGACTTTGAGTTTTGTAGGTCTATTTCAACTAAATTCACCATTTCCGTGTCTTCCGTTGCTGAAATTTATCCAAAAGATGCATGTATTTCAATTCCAAGCACTAAATTTTAGGGGTATGGGAAGGGAAGGTAAAAATAAGAATAATAATAACAATAATAATCTCGCTTCATTCGAGTACTCCGACCAAAACAAATGGGGGGAAGGGCGTGTTTCCTAGTGCAGGTTTCCCGGGTCCCTTGACCGTTTTCGAGGCGGGCATATTTATTCTTCTAACCCATTACCACTTATTCTCCTGCTTTTAGAGCTGACTCGGCACAAAGAGTCATTACATGTTTCAGATCATATGACAAGATCACAATAGGTAGGTAGAATTCATTTAATTACAGGGCTAATTCATTATTCTGAAGAATTCATTTACTTCATTGAACAGCATCACTCAGGTAGTGGCAGTGCCATCATTTTCCATGTTAAACATCAGGTTCGATTTTTCAGCTTTAGTCAGGGCTGTGAGACCAAGTATGCTGGCAGAGATTCTAATCTAAAAGCTGAAAAGTTAAAAATGGGGTATTTGGTTTGTAACTTCAGTAATAGCTGAAATTAAATTGAAGACAGATTATGTGGTATCTTTGATTTTGCTTCCTGGATTTTTCTGAGTGAACTTTTTAGAAGCTCTAAAAGCAATGTTTGTCATGGTGGACAGTCATTTGCCTACTAGAAAAGGAGGGTAAAGGCTGGGGTATTCGCAAAGAATGGAAATTGATTTCAGAAGTGAAAGAGAGTGCAACTATAAAAGAATGGCCCAAGTGCAAAAATGCTTGGGAAGAAAATTAGGGCAAAAATATTTGGGAAGAAAATTAGGGAGAAACAAGAGAGAGAAAGAACCTACCTGTCCTACGGAGAATTGGTAAAAACACTTCCCCTCCCGCACCGGAGAGTCATGGTAGATCATGGATTTCACGTAGAGGCCAGAGAGTGAGAGATAGAAGTGAAGGATAGAAATGAGAAAGTGGGAGAAGAAAATAAGGGGCAATAAATCCCAGCGTGGTTTTGTGAGAGACGTCAGGTGATAAAAGCAGCAAGAGATAAAGCGGGCACTTGGGCATTTGTGTGTGTGTGTGTGTTTTTTTTTTTCTTGGCATTTTCAGCCAAAAATATTTTCACTCTATCACGCCACTTTTTTTGGCCTTGGGTTTCAACAAATTTTTTATTTCATCAATTCCAATATTTTTTTAATGAAATTTGTACTATTTTTCAATTTTGTTTGTAAGTATATATTTATGAAATTTGTACTTTTTTCAATTTTACTCATATATTATAATTCATTATTTTCACTCTATCTGCCACTTTTTTCGCCTTTGGTTTGAACAAAATTTTGATTTCACTATTTTCTTCCTTAAGCCAAAATTTTTTGTGAATTTCTTTTACTATTTTTCAGTTTTATTTGAAGTACAAGATTTTACTGATATATTATAATTCCTTAATTTTAACATAAAAAAGAAAAATCTTAATCATGTGTTGGCAATTTTTTTTTAAATTCATACAAGTGAAAAAAAAAATACTTTTATTCAACTTCTAATCATTCATACAAATACTACTACCAGTATCTTGAGATTGCAAAACTGGAATATTGCATTTAATTTGGATAGGAGAAAATTTTGTTAGTTTCACCTAATACTAGAGTATGGTTTTAGCTGTTTTAAACTAAAGAATCATGCATGTTATATGTTAAATTTGCATGAAGTTATACTAGTAGTTCTAATTTGTTAGAGAAATGTGTATTAGCTTTGACTTTTAGCAAATCAACATTCATTTTGCAAGAAATAATTGTAATTAGTAGTCCTAATATCATTAATTATCTTATACTATGACTTGACTAGTACTAATTTCATCACAATGAGTGATCCAATATGTAATGTAGTAGAAAGTACTTGACAGTCAAATAATTTTATTGTTTCAACCACGGGTCAACTAGATTCGAGGAAACCTTAATTTAGTGACCAATGTTGAGATACTAGGATTTAGACATCTTGAGTTCTAATCCTCCTTTTTTTTCTTTCTTGCTTTTTACATTCCACCCTTTCTTTGTTAAAATTTTTTTTTGGAAAAAAGATCAATTAGATGGGAAATTTTTTTTTCCAAAAATAATGTTTTTACTATTAGTCAAACATAAAACTTCACACTTAATTTATTACCTTGGAATAAAAAAATGCATAATTAAAGCAATGTAACTAAAGAGTTAAGAGCTTATCTACTTTAATAACTCGTTCAATTTAAAAGGACTTGCAGGCTGACAATTTCTAGGTATTGATAAGTAACTACATATTTCTTAGTTTTTTAATAAATCATTCTAATTCAAGCATATTAATATGACTAATTTGACTAAAATAGTTGAATTGTCAAATTTACATGAAAACCAAGAGGCTTAAAATTGTAGGATAGTCAAATAGTTTCATTAGAAACAAACCAATATAAATAGTAATATATCATCAAAGTTGTAAAACTTTTAAGATATTTCAATGTTGACATATAATTATCAATAAGACTATTCACCATTGCAGTGAAAAGAAGGTACAAAGCTTCAATGACAACATAGTAAAGTTGTCAACGAAAAAGAGACAGTAATAGCGATGATGTGATGTCCCCACCTCTCCCTAGGGCGAATCTTAGGGTATCAGCGGGACGCCTGCCTAACTCTTGTCAGGACTCACGCACTCATTTAAGTTTAATAAAGAACCACAAGTTAACCATCGACTTAATTTAAAAATATTTTGAATATACAAGTCCCAAAACTCCCAAGTATACCATTTACAAATACAATCTAAAATATCCAAGTATAACAAAATTTACACTTTAATGGTCTCCAATAACATACAAAAGTATACTAGTTTCAACCAAAAGTCGCTAGTTTAGAATCACTAACTTCCACCTCCAAGTCCTGTTAAGGAAAACAAAACTTAAAGGATTGAGCTAACGCTCTGTGAGGCCAAGAAAATCAAGCAAGCAAGCAAGTAGCACCAATCAATCAAATAATATACTTGAAAGTAACGTTCACATGAAATTTCATTCGAGTGCACAAGTAGGAATTAAATACATATGGAAGGATACAGGAGCTCTCAGGAGCTATTTCCACGTCTCGACCGATTCATGCCATTTGGGGTTGACTCTCCGTCAACTCAAGAAGTAACATGACCGTAGTGCTCCACTTACTTCCTCCATCCAACATAACACCCACTCGGATTTGGAACCAAACATTCATGTAGTGGCGATATTATTCAAGTATGCCAAGCGAGATCTCAAAAGATCAAACTATATCATTTCCCAACATTCACCAAACTTCTCAACCAAACCCTTGCCAACTCGAGTTACGAGGTTAGCCAATGGGTTGGGGCGTTCCCACAAGTATAATTGGTCGATAAGACAACACTCCAATCAGCTTAGAATTGTTCATAGCTCTGAGCCGGTATGAGAGGCACCTCCCACACGATTAGGGTGTGGTACATGCTGCCGCTCAGAGAATCGATCATAGCAATGAGTCGGTATGAGAGGCACCTCCCATCCGAATAGAGTGTGATACATACTGCCGCTCAGTGCTCACGAGTTAAAACGTGTTCAAATACAAGTGCAAGTCATATACATTCATTTAACAAGTATCATTTAATCAAGAGAGAGAGAGGACGAGGGCGATAAAGTACACCCTCGTCTCGGCAAATTCACGTATCATATAACACTTGTACAAATATCATTTCAATCATAGTAACATTGAACGTGCACTTGACACTTACCAAAAGTCAAGGGCAAAACAAGAGTAAAAGCGAGAGGTCAGACAAGCTCCTCGGCATCCACGTGACCACCTGAGACATGCACAATCACGATTATCTAGATACTCGACCAAGGCTAATAAGAAAAACATTTTCTTACTACTCACTCTCAAGGTCACAAGTTCGAGTCACAAGTTCGAGGAGTCTTTCTCACTAAATCATTGAAATAATACTCAAAGGAAACTCAAAAGTCATTTTCGAGTCAAATCTTGGCAAGAACCCTCAATTCCAAAAGAAAGTATCATATTTACTTTCGACACCAAAATCGAGAAAAAGGAAGATGGTTATCATCTCTCAAAACTTTTAGTCCTACGCCCAAGATTTAGAATATAAGGAGCGTTCACATTTTCTAAACTAATGGAGTCAGAATTCATCAAAACTCCACTCATTTCCATAGTAAATTTTAAAGTTAAAGGTTCCAAATTTCAAGTATAAACTAGTGAAATTCTCCAAAAATTACTCTAGTTAAAAAACTCCATTTTTAGAGTTCAACGTCATGGAAATCAAGGACATAAGATTAGAGGTTGAAATCCATTTCTCAAGTATGAATTGAGGTGCAATTAACCAAGAAAGTTAGGCAACCAAGAAAACGCATCAAGAGAGATTTAATCCTTTGGGAACCAAGATTTAAAATAAAGGTCTAATGTTCAAAAAGACCTTGTATCCATCCATGAAATGAAACTTAAAATGAACTAACAATCTCAGAGGAAAGTTGAGAGTTCTTAAAAGAACATTTTGTTTGAAACCAGAAAATTCCAGTTTTGTGCGACACCACTTGGAAAAATCATATCTCGAGTTCCGTCAGTCAAAAAATTGGAAACTTTATACTTTGGAAACTAGATTTAATGTACTAAAAATCTCTAGAAGACACTTTTCTCAGATTCAAATCTGAAATCATTCAAATTTTAGCTCCAACTCACTGTCCTAGCAAGAACAGAGCAAAACAGTTTTGCATTTTCAGTAAACTTTGAAAATTTGGCAAAATTCATAGAAATAGAATCAGCCCTTGAAATTTATACCACTGATAGAACTCCAAATTTAGTTTCAAACACAATAAATAGAACTCAATTTGGACCTTTTTACATCAAGTTACAATAGTTTTAGGAAAGCTGATTTTTAGAACCTGGTTCACGGAATTTTCAGTTTTGGAGCACCTGACACAGTTTTAAAATCTGGTCATAACTAAAGCTACACAACTCAAAATTTCATGTGGTTTGCGGTGTTGAAAATAGACTCAAAATGCCAAAATTCACTAGAACTGTTTTAAAATTCATTTTATAAGATGAGTGAAAATGAGCTACAAACTGCAGCTATGCTTGTTTCTCGGATGAAAACAGTGAGAAAAATCAGTCAAATTTACCGATTCACTACGGCTCATAGAAAATGAACTAGAAGGTACATTTTATATTGTTGGAAAGCCCTCGGAGTCTAGTTTTAGCTGCCACAAACGGTACTTGATTTCGACTCCTAGACGAAAAGTTATGGGCTGATACGTACACACTAGTCTGGTATCCTGATCAGAAATTTTCCAGATTTGCATTCTCACTTTAACCCAACTTTAACTCAACCAAATGAAATGCTTTTTGAGATAATTGACACACATAAACACCAATATATAACAAGCATTTTGGCACCAAAATAACCACAAAATTTAAAATTAATATGAGGGAAATAACCAGCAAAATTTCGGATAGCATGCTCCCTTTTTCTCTTCAACTTTTCTTTTCAACTTTTCCAACTAAAACTAAGCCATAATTCATCAAAACAAGTATTAAACAAACAACTAAACACACAATAATTCCTCAACGCCACTACCTAAGAAGCCACCTCAAGCCATCTACATAGAGTCAAGGTTCATTGAACCCATCAACAACCCAATGCTTAACTAGTTAAAACTAACTAAACTAACCATAAGTTGGAAGGAAAAATGAGAGCTTTGGGGTGTTACCTTACTTCCAAGAGATGAAGATCAAACCACTAGAGTTTAAGCTCTAAACCATCAAGGTTCTTTCCTCCTTCAAGTCTCCCTTCAACCTTGAGTGATGTTCCAAGAAAAGGAGCAAGTTTGGTGTGTGTTTTGGAGCAAACATGGAAGAAAAGAAAGCTGAAATTTTTGGCAAGAAATGGTGAAGGGTGGCCGGCCAAGATGGGAGGGGAAAGAAAAGGTTTGAGTGAGTTGTTGGTGAAGTGATGGAATGAAAGGAAGAAATGACA